GGCCAAAGGCTGGGTAGGGTGATGAGACAGCATGGCTGCAGGAGTCGAGCTCAGTGCCTGAGCTGGGAGCTCGATGCAGGAGCTGTGGGTTGCTCCTCGTCCCTGCTAGGAGCAGGTGCAAGAGGCCTGCAGAGTGCTGCGGCTGGGCATGGACCTCACAGTGCCATGAAGCCTCATGCAACTTTGAATTTCACTTGTGATTTCTTCCTGGAACTTCAAAGCCCTGACACAGTAGGCACATAGTCAATATTGTTTGAGTAAGTGACTGTGTGCAATGGCCCAGGGTAAGGGGGTTCTGGAGAGGCAGTCCCTGCTCCTATTTTTTCTCTGTCTCCTTTGTTTTGATGATTTTTGCTTTTTACTATGAAAAATTTCAAACTTTCAGAAAAGTAGAGTAATGTGCCACCCATATACCTATTATGTAGATTTAAGAAGAATGATTTTTCCATCTGTTATCTGCTGTGTTTGGAAAGGATTTTAAAGTACAGACATCAGGACATTTTACCCCTAAATGCTTCGGATGCAACTCTAAAAAATAAGGATGTTTTCATACTTAACCACAATTGTATGAATACACTGAACAAAGCAAATCAATTTATTTGTCCCCCAAATACTTTGATTTGTTCAAATGAGAATTCAGTCAGAGTCTCCATGACGTGTGTGGTGGTGGTGCTTTAGTTCCTTTGATACGGAACAGCCCCTCCCAGCTCTTCATTTCTCATGAGCTGAAAAGGCTGGGACGGGCACGGTGGCTCACGCCTGTAATCCCAGCACTTTGGGAGGCTGAGGCGGGCAGATCACGAGGTCAGGAGATCGAGACCATCCTGGCTAACATGGTGAAACCCCGTCCCTACTGAAAATACAAAAAATTAGCTGGGCATGGTGACAGGCGCCTGTAGTCCCAGCAACTTGGGAGGCTGAGGCAGGAGAATGGCCTGAACCCGGGAGGTGGAGCTTGCAGTGAGCCAAGATCATGCCACTGCACTCCAGCCTAGAGCAAGACTCCGTCTCCAAAAAAAGAAAAAAAAAAAAAAAAAACCTGGACTAGCTGCCCTGTAGGATGTTCCACCTTCTGGATTGATTTTGTTTTCTCTGATGTCACTGAACTTAACCCTCTGATCCCTGTGTTGCCTGTGAAGTGGAAGGTGAATCTACCGGGCTCAGTGATGAAGGCTGAGTGTTTTTGAGACGAAGTCCTTACAGGTGGTGCGTGTCACACTGAGTCCCATCAGGAGGTCCTCAATGTCGGGGCGGCCCACAATTAGCGATGCTGAGGTTGATCGCAGTCTTAGGCTGGAGACCCTGGGACTTACTTTTCCCCTTGTGACTGTAACAGTGATTCTTTGGCTCTAGGCGAAGATTCAGTTCCCATCAGTCTTTCACCTAATGATGTTGGCATTCTTGTCCAAATCAATCACGTAATTAGAAGATGAAATAGGGCAATATTGCATAATCTATTATTTGGTCCACATTGCTTAGCAGACATTCTTCGATTAAAGAAAAAGAGCCTTCTCTATCCTGGCTAACACAGTGAAACTTCATCTCTACTAAAAATACAAAAAATTAGCCGGGCGTGGTGGCGGGTGCCTGTAGTCCCAGCTACTCGGGAGGCTGAGGCAGGAGAATGGTGTGAATCCGGTAGTCGGAGCTTGCAGTGAGCCAAGACTGCATCACTGCACTCCAGCCTGGGCGACAGAGCGAGACTCCGTCTCCAAAGAAAAAAAAAAAAAAGAAAACAAAACAAAAAGAGCCTTCCCTAACTAATGGGACTGTCTGGATAGGGACAAATGAGTTTTTCTCTGGGGGTTTTGTTTGAGGACTTGCAGATTTTCATCTGTGCATCCTGCTTCACTCAAATGCTGCCATCACTCCTTGTGAGGCTCAGGTTGTCTGTCTTAGGCAACGGGAGCCTCTTCAGGTGCTCGGGCAGCGCCTGGGTTAGCCTCCGTGCCTCCAGGCGCTATGCAACATTCCAGGCTCATCTAGCACACTCCCCGCCCCGGACCTGGACGCCTCCCTCTCTCCAAGGAGCCTGGTTCCTGTTAGCAGGGACCTTCCTTCTCTCTTGATTGCTGTAGCTACTTTTCGCTTTTGGGAGCACCTATGAATCTGTCAGTCATTTCTGAGTCTATTTTATGCCTCCCATTATTCTTACGAGCGAGTTCAATAGGGAAAATAGCTCTTTCTAAGGGGTGTGTGTGTGTGTGTGTGTGTGTGTGTGTGTGTGTGTGCATGACGGGGGCAGGGGAGAGAGAAAGAGACAGACATTTTGTAAAGACTGGCATATGTATTAGTGTGAGATTAAAGAGGGCATTAAAAGAGGCTAAAAACGTTGTCGTCATGCTAGTGGTTTTCAGTTCCCCAGATCCTTGACTCTTCCTCCCATGATCTTTGATTTTCCTAAAATATCCCTGCATCCTCCCTGGAAAGCCCCAGAATGTTCCAGAAGTGAGAGCAGGCTGGGGGCCGGGCAGCACCGTAGGCAGGACTAGAGGGTGGTCGGGATGTGGTGGTGGTGAGGGGGCGACAGACCCAGAAGGCCGAGGGTTAGGACCACAGAGGATACTGTCACTTAGAAGGATAATATATAGGACCGGGCCCCCCTCGGGCCTCTCCAGTGTCCCCTCAGCTTCCACACCTCCCTGGGAAGCCACAGCCACGTGCTGAATGTGACGCCGTGGTCCGGGTGGATAACTCGCTGGTTGTTGGTGGCTTCTGGATGCAGACGCTGCTTTCCTTAGGTCTGAATTGAACCCTCAGATGGAGGCAGAGAATAGACCCCACAATAAAGGAGAGACGAGCAGGGACCCGAGAGCTCTTTCTATGTGTGCTGCTTCCCGGTGGAGAAAAATGCTGCCAGGTAGTACCGTAATGAAAATGATAATGGCAAGACAGCATCAACAACTCTGGCTAACTTATACTTTTCAGATGAGGAGAGGTTCAGTAACTCAGCCCAGGCCATGCAGCACAGAAAGAAAACTGAGAAGGCCAGATGTGAACCTGGGGCGTGGGCCGCTCTGTGGGTAAAGCCTCTCCCTAGCCACCAGGCTTACGGAGATCCAGCGGGTTGCGTCCCCCGTCGGACTTCCCCCCGTATCGGGCTGCCCCGTGCTCATCCCCGTGCTCATTCTCCCTCAAGGCAAGGACCAGGTGTCGCTCAGCTCCAGCACAGAGGCAGGACTAGGGTGGGGGCACAGTTGTAAAATTGAACTAGGGGGCAATGGTCCTGACACTCTGACCCCTCAAGATGCTACTCAAGGCAGCTGCCCTGCTCTCCATGCCCAGAAATTCTTCCACGTCCCCAGGAGCCCCACACTTTGACGTGGACTCTACTGGCTTCTGTGCCCAGCCGTGCCCTCTGGAGGCTCTGCCCCTGGCTTGGGTTACCTGGAGCTGGAAAATGCCAGGGCAGGTCATAGATAAAAATAGAAACCCACAGACCTGGCACATGCTTCCTGTTGGGCTCAGGCAGCTGCCCCAGGCACAGTGCCACCTTGTGTGGGCCACTGCTTCCCCAGGGCAAGGTGTGGGTGGGACGATGAGTCTATCATCCCTACGCGTGCGTGCACACACACACACACACTCTCCCCACCCCCCTTTTTCTTTAATCATTTCAACTTTTACTTTAGATTCAGAGAGTACATGTGCAGATTTGTTACACTGGTATATATCGTGATGCCAAGGTTTGGGGTACAATTAATCCCGACATCCAGGTAGTGAGCATAGTACCCAATAGTTAGTTTTCCAATCCTTGCCCCCTCCTTCCTTCCCCACTCTAGTAGTCCCCAATGTCTACTGTTGCCATTTTTCTGTCCATGAGTACCCCATGTTTAGCTCCCACTTGTAAGAACATGTGGTATTTGGTTTTCTATTCCTGCATTAATTTGCATAGGATAATAACCTCCAGCTGCATCCATGTTGCTGCAAAGGATATGATTTCATTCTTTTTTGGGGGCTGCATAGTATTCCATGGTGTATATGTACCACATTTTCTGTATCCAGCCCACCGTTGCTGGGCACCTGGTTGGTTCTGTGTCTTTGCTGTTGTGAAGAGTGCTGTGATGAATGTGTGAGTGCACGTGTCTTTTTGGTAGGACGATTTTCTTTTGGATGTATACCCGGTAACAGGATTGCTGAGTGAAATGGTAGTTCTAAGTTCTTTGAGAAATCTCCAAGCTGTTTTCCACGGTGGCTGAACCAATTTACATTCCCGTCAGCGCACTCCCCATCTTAGGCTGTTAGTACAAATACCAGTCAGGCACTTGTGGCTTCACATCAGAGCAAGGCAGAGCTAAGGACACTCCGGGGTCAGCTTTCCTTGACACTTGGCCTGGCATAGGTAAGGGGCAGGCTTTGGGGCTGCAAAGATTTTCCAATTGTTCGGCCTGCAGGAGGGGCCTAATTTATACCCTCCCAATCTTCTCTTGGGATAACAAATAATCCTTTACTTCTACACTGGTAACCATGATACTACTGACAGCCATGGCGTATACTTCCAGAGCGTGTTCCTTTCATGAGTGCTCATTCGCTCTGTGATACCCTGAGACTGTGTGTGCGTATATGTGCGCATGTGTGCGCAGTGCTCAGAAAGTCAGGGTCAGGAGTGGCTATGAATGCTGGCTTGCGTGGGAGTAGGTTGAAGGAGAGTTTCTGCCATGATCACCAGTTCTTCCTTGGGCCTTCTTCACCAGTGCAGGAGTCTTGTGGTTTGGAATTAGCCCCTTGCTTCATCTTTGCAAACGCCCTCTGTTTTTCTTTCCTGGTGTAAAAGGTTAACCCTGGGAGGCAACCTTCAGAGCAAAGCACAAAACAGCTGTGTCTTCTTTGGATCTAAGTCCTGGTCCAGCTGCTCTAGAGCTGGGGCACCTGCAGCCTCAACGCCAGCTGGCAGTGCGGGGCTGGGGCCGGGCTGGCCTGCAAGGTGAATGTTACGGGGGTGTAGGGCAAAGGCATGCTGGGGGCCTGGACTCTCTGACCTCGATGCTTCCCTCTCCCCACAGCGGGAATGCATATCAGTCCACGTGGGCCAAGCAGGAGTTCAGATTGGCAATGCCTGCTGGGAGCTCTTCTGCCTGGAACACGGCATCCAGGCAGATGGCACTTTTGATGCTCAAGCCAGCAAGATCAATGATGATGACTCCTTCACCACCTTTTTCAGCGAGACTGGCAATGGGAAGCACGTGCCCCGGGCCGTCATGATAGATCTGGAGCCTACCGTAGTGGGTGAGTGGGGGCGGAGATCCTCTCCACAGAGAACACCGTGAAACCGCAGAGGCATTGACCCACAGTAGCTAAGGAAGGAGCCTCTCTAGCTGGAAGGTGGGGCTGGTGCAACCGGAGCCTCCCACCCCACGTGACATCTGTCAGCTCCTTGGGGTCCCCACAGTCTCGGAGAATCTCATAACAGTGATCAAGACTCTATGCCGAACAAAATGCCTCCCACTCAAACCCCCGAGACCTGCGGCGCCGTGCCAAAATGGTCACATCGCTACTAAATACTAAGGATAAGAAAACCCAAATAATTGTAGGAATTATAAGACACCCCTAAGTGACCAGTTTCCCTAAGTATAGGTTTCTGAGTCTGCTTTCAGGGGTGGGTATAACCTCAGAGCACCTTACACACACGGCAGGCACATTCCTTCACAGCCAGGGGCTGCTGGAGTTCTGGAATGAGGTTCCTTCAGGTTTAGGAAACATAGAGGAATTCTGCCTCGTGTCTGGGCAGATCTCCCCCTCCCACACTATCCCCCAATAGTGCCACTTCCCCCGTTTCTGACCCCTGGGTCAACTCTCAGTTGAACATCAGGATTTCCCCCGCTTCAAGCCTCGCTCATCAAGCAAGACATGGACAGTTTCCCAAAGAGGACTGGGCGTGAACTATAGTGCCTGAACACCAATGTCTAGGGGCAACAGAGGGCAGATGCTCCACCCCCTTGATGCGTTGTACCAATGCACAAAGTGCAGGTTACCTCCCAGGCCACTGAACAGATGACTTTTCTGCATGCAGTAGAGGAACCCCAAAGAGAAGAGGCGACATAGTTGGGACCTGATGTGTCTTGATCTGCTTGTGTGGACCCTTGGAAGTGAGCAGAGACCCCTTAAAGGCCTCTCTAGGGCTCTTGCTCCTCTAGGACCTGGAACATAGCTTTGCTTCACATTATTCTAAAATATGTCTAATGCCTGGCATGTATTATTGCCACCACGAGGTGGAGTTGAGGGGTGGGACAACTCTTGGGAGGGTCTAGGTTCTGGGCAGGTCATCCTGAATCTTTCTCCATGTCCCTAGAACATGTTAATGTAAATGGACTTAAGTTAAACTGTTGGTACACTTTGCAGCATGAAAGGAAAAATGAAAGGGAAACCTTGAGGGTTAAGGTGGAAGGGAGGAGAGGCAGCTGGCATTAGTGTTCGATGCGCTTTGTTTTTTGTTTTTTGGTATTTTGCTTATTTTTTATTTTTTTTATTTTTGAGATGGAGTCTCACTCTGTCGCCCAGGCTAGAATGCAGTGGCATGATCTCGGCTCACTGTAAGCTCCACCTCCCAGATTCACACCATTCTCCTGCCTCAGCCTCCCAAGTAGCTGGGACTACAGGTGCCCGCCACCATGCCCGGCTAATTTTTTGTATTTTTAGTAGAGATGAGGTTTCACCATGTTAGCCAACATGTTCTTGATCTCCTGACCTCGTGATCTGCCTGCTTTGGCCTCCCAAAATGCTGGGATTACAGGCGTGAGCCATGGCGCCCGGCTGGCCTAAGTTTTGTCATTGTGGGTTTTTTTTTTGGAGATGGAGTCTTGCTCTGTCTTGTTGCCCAGGCTGGAGTGCAGTGCAAGATCTCGGATCACCTCAGCCTCTGCCTCCCAGGTTCAAGCGATTCTCCTGCCTCAGCCTCCTGAGTAGCTGGGACTACAAGCGCACGCCGCCACACCTGGCTAATTTTTTGTATCTTAGTAGAGATGGGGTTTCACCATCTTGCCCAGGCTAGTCTCGAACTCCTAAGCTCAGGCAATCCGCCCGCCTTGGCACCCCAAAGTGTTAGGATTGCAGGCGTGAGCCACTGCGCTGGCAGTGTTGGATGAGCTTTGTAAAGCTCAGGCTTTTTAGGGTTCCAGCCAGTAGGGCAGCCTGCTTCTCACCACCCACATGAGCCACAGGCCTTGGCTCTGTTAGTCCCTGAGCTCCCCGGGAATTCTCGTAGCCTTTTGCGGATTCGTTATGACGTGGTCTGGCTTAAAACCTCTGTGGAGTTTTATAGGTAGGGGAGACCAGAAGGGGGTCCTGCGGTAGTGTGATAGGGAGGGGGGCTTCTCCCCTGGGCAGTAGGACCTAACGGTCTTCCTCTCTTGGAAGATGAGGTTCGGGCAGGAACCTACCGCCAGCTCTTCCATCCAGAGCAGCTCATCACAGGAAAGGAGGATGCAGCCAACAATTATGCCCGGGGCCACTACACGGTGGGCAAAGAGAGCATTGACCTGGTGCTGGACCGCATACGGAAGCTGGTAAGAGTCAGGAGGGCAGGGGACGGGTGGGCCAGGCTGGAGTGGACACAATTGGCCCTATGCCTCTTTGATGAGGCTGGGGAGAGGCATGTGACCCCTGGCTATAGGATGGAGCTCCTAAGGTTTGGGAATTTCTGCTTAAATTCTGTAGGAAGCACGCAAAGGGATGATGCCCCTTCCTCTGTGTTGGCATCATAGACTGTGTTCCAAGCTGAGGCCCTACTCATTGATACTCTCTGGTAGAATCTGGGGAAGGTTCCGGGTATAAGGCAGGATGAGGTCTCTGATGGTTGGAAACACAGGTTAACAAAGCATTTAACTTGGAAGAGAAGAGGAAGAGATTGCTGATCCATTTGGGCACTTACAAATGCCATTACAAATGTCAAGTACATTCCTTCATTTAATCCTTAATAATTATACTTAGGAGGTCTCCTTCTGTACTTTACAGATGAAGAAAGTGAGGGCCGGGGAGGTTCAATATCTTAGCCTGGGTCACACAGCTAAAAAGTGGCAGAATTGGGGCTTGAACTCAGTTGGTTGGACTATAAAGCTCTGAGTTGTAGGTTGTGTCACTTTCTTTCTTTAAGCTTCCATTTGCTTATCTGTAAGTGGAAAAGCTTGGACCTGATCACACGTTCTTTGCCTGGGAGCTAAGGGTGCCAATTTTTTTTTTTTTTTTTGGAGATGGAGCCTCGCTCTATCGCCCAGGCTGGAGTGCAGTGGCTGATCTCAGCTCACTGCAAGCTCGCCTCCGGGTTACGCCATTCTCCTGCCTCAGCCTCCCGAGTAGCGGACTACAGGTGCCTGCCACCCGCGCCCAGCTATTTTTGTATTTTTTAGTAGAGACGGGGTTTCACTGTGTTCGCCAGGATGGTCTCAATCTCCTGACCTCGTGATCCGCCCGTCTCGGCCTCCCAAAGTGCTGGGATTACAGACTTGAGCCACTGCACCCGGCTGGGTGCCAAATTTTTGCATATGTTCACTTTTTCTGTTTAGAGGAGGGCTTGTCAGGGTCATTGGCCTCAAAGCTGTCTGTGGTCCCCAAAAGTTCAAATCACACCCAGTGGGAAAATCCTGTGATTCTGTGAATTCTCTGATAAGAGCTGACATCCGTGCCTACAACGCATCAGTCCTTGCTCAGCATGTTATGCTATTTCATTTAATTGTCACAATAACCTTAGGAGGATTTTCTATTGTCCCCATTTTCACTAAGAAGGAAGAGAAGTGGCCAGGCACAGTGGCGCATACCTGTAATCCCAGCACTTTGGAAGGCTAAGGGGGGCGGATCACGAGGTCAAGAAATGGAGACCATCCTGGCCAACATGGTGAAACCCCATCTCTACTAAAAATACAAAAAATTAGCTGGGCATGGTGGCAGGCGCCTGTAGTCACAGCTACTCAGGAGGCTGAGGCAGGAGAATTGCTTGAACCCAGAAGGCGGAGGTTGCAGTGAACCAAGATTGCACCACTGCACTCCAGCCTGGCGACAGAGCGAGACACTGTCTCAAAATAAAAAAGAAGGAACAGAAGTTTGGAGAGGTTCAGTAACTTGCTCAAGTTCTTACAACCAAGAAATGGCAAAGTTGATGTTAGAACTCAGGCTTTCCGGCTCCATGTACCTTTCTGAAATTGGTGCCCTGAGTCACCTTCCAGGGTTAGGTTGAAGTCTGTAGGTAGCAGTTCCCACAAAATCAAATGACAATAGCAGGGAAAGTGGGCAAGGAGTTGGGGCCCCCAAAGGGCAAAGTCACCATCCACTGTGGTTCTGAAACTCTCATTCCCTGTTCAACCAAGCTAGTGGGCTGAAACCTTCATGTACCTACAGGCGTGTGCCCCTGCAGCTTGCCATCCTATTAAAACAAAAATAGAGACAGAGTCTTGCTCTGTCATCCAGGCCAGAGTACAGTGGTGTGATCATAGATTTCTGCAGCTGTGAGCTCCTGGGCTCAAGTGATCCCCCTCCCTCAGCATCCCAAGTAACTGGGACTACAGGTGTGCGCCACCATGCCCAGTTCATTTTTACAATTTTTTGTAGATGTGAGATCTTACTGTGTTGCCCGGGCTGGTTGGGAACTCCTGGCCTCAATGGATCCTCCTGCCTCAGCTTCCCAAGGCCAATGGATCCTTGGCCTCAATGGATCCTCGGCCTCAATGGAGCCTCCTGACTCAGACAGGCATTGAGTCACTGTGCCTGGCCCCATCCCATATTTTAGCCACTCCTCCAAAGATCAGTACAACTCCTTTTATTTCCTTACTTCTTCATAGCTGTTTTGATTTCATCCACAAAACACTGTAGAGAGGTGGGATGGGGCAGACAGAGTCAGTGGTCTGGCGTTTTTCACTGTGGGGTGTTCTCAGAAACTTGTCTTCATGATTTCTTCTCCTGTCCTGCTCTCCCCAGACAGACGCTTGCTCTGGCCTGCAGGGTTTCCTGATTTTCCACAGTTTTGGTGGAGGCACTGGCTCCGGCTTCACTTCTCTGCTGATGGAACGCCTCTCCCTGGATTATGGCAAGAAATCCAAGCTGGAGTTTGCCATCTACCCAGCCCCCCAGGTCTCTACTGCAGTGGTGGAGCCCTACAACTCCATCCTGACCACCCACACCACGCTGGAACATTCAGATTGTGCTTTCATGGTGGACAACGAAGCCATCTATGACATCTGCCGCAGGAACCTTGACATCGAGCGCCCTACCTATACCAACCTCAACCGCCTCATCAGTCAGATTGTGTCCTCAATCACTGCTTCTCTCCGCTTTGACGGGGCCCTCAATGTGGACCTCACTGAGTTCCAGACCAACCTGGTACCCTATCCCCGCATCCACTTCCCGCTGGTCACCTACGCGCCCATCATCTCTGCCGAGAAAGCCTATCACGAACAGCTCTCCGTGGCCGAGATCACCAGCTCCTGCTTTGAGCCCAACAGCCAGATGGTGAAGTGCGACCCGAGACATGGCAAGTACATGGCCTGCTGCATGCTCTACCGGGGCGACGTGGTGCCCAAGGATGTGAACGTTGCTATTGCTGCCATCAAGACCAAGAGGACCATCCAGTTTGTAGACTGGTGTCCCACAGGCTTCAAGGTGAGAGCTGATGACTTAGGAAGGGGGGAGAGGACCAGAGAAGCAGAGGGAGATTACCAAAGATACGCAATTCCATGGGTGCTTCAGGCTTTATGTGATGATAAGGGGAGGGGGACTTCAACCAAATGTAACATGAGTGGAATTCAGCTTTGGTTGAGACACAAATGCTGTTAAAGTTTTGTCTGTTTCGGCCATTTTAGAAAAGTTTGGTGCTATTTTAAATTGGTTAATTGGTTAATCACCTTTGGTTTTGTTTACTGAGCAACAAGTAATGATTTGGTATTGGCCGGAATCTACTGACCTGAAGGGCCATGCTTTTGGTGTTCATGATTTAATTCAATTTGCCTAATGTTAGTGATTTGTTTTTTTTTTTTGAGACGGAGTCTCACTCTGTTGCCCAGGCTGGAGTGCAGTGGCACAATCTCGGCTCATTGCAAGCTCTGCCTCCCAGGTTCACGCCATTCTCCTGCCTCAGCCTCCCAAGCAGCTGGGACTACAGGCGCCCGCCTCCACGCCTGGCTAATTTTTTGTATTTTTAGTAGAGACAGGGTTTCACCGTGTTACCCAGGATGATCTCGATCTCCTGACCTCATGATCCACCTGCCTCGGCCTCCCAAAGTGCTGGGATTACAGGCGTGAGCCACTGCTCCTGGCCTTTATTTATTATTTATTTTTTATTTTTATTTTTGTGAGTCTTGCTCTGTCACCCAAGCGGGAGTGCAGTGGCGCGATCTCGGCTCACTGCAAGCTCTGCCTCCTGGGTTCACGTCATTCTCCTGCCTCAGCCTCCCGAGTAGCTGGGACTACAGGCGCTGGCCACCACGCCCGGCTAATTTTTTGTATTTTTAGTAGAGACAGGGTTTCACCATGTTAGCCAGGATGGTCTCGATCTCCTGACCTCGT